CTCTCTCTCTCTCTCTCTCTCTCTCTCTCTTTCTCAAGGCTACTGTAAACAGGTGTGGCTAGTTGCCAGACCCTGAGCTCCTGAAATAGGGAAGTAGTTGGTTCCTACCTAAAACAAAAGTCTAAGGAACCAACTAAGTTCTTGTTCCCTTTATGGAAATAACTTGGGATTCTACCCAGGGGGTGGTTTGCCTACAGAGTGGTCTAGGGCGTGCATCAAGGGCCCTTGACTTTTAATTTGCATGCTAACGCAGCCCTTTTGTTCTACTCTTACCTTTTGAAATCAAGGGTATATTAAACTCTTGGAAATTAAACGTGAACGAATGTTCAGTACTCACTGAAATTCCCTCCCGATACTATCCTATGTGTTTCTGCATTTTGTTATTTTTGTTCCTGTTTTGGTATTGCTTACTATACTTCTAGATTCCCACTCCTCCACTCTGGAAGAAAGGTAATCTTGTCGGGGATGGCCCCTGACACATGTAGGGTCTAGCAACGTAGCTCAGTTGTTGGACTGCTTGCCTAGCATGCATGGAGCCTTGGGCTTGAGTCCGTTGCGGCATAAACTGAGCATGGTGCTGTAAACAATGATCCTAGCACTCGGGAGGCTGAAGGCCGGAGGATCGGAAGCTCGAAGTTGAGGTGTTCTAGATTAAGCACTGTGGTAGGGCACTTGCATACTAATCACTAGAATTGGGGTTCAGTCCTTAGCACTAGTAGAGAAAGGTTCGAGGTCATCCTCAGTTAGACAGCAAGTTCTAGGCCACTCCACGTTACATAAGAACCTCTCTCAAAATAATGAGAAACGAAATACCATATACAGATTTAACAGACAAGCTGACATCCACTGGGTTCTCCCAGCCTGGAATGTCATGTTCAGAAGAAAACATCTGTCTCTTCAAACAAACAGGGTGATGACAACCAACAAGAGATGCTTTGAACTGACGTCAAGTACTTCATAAGAAAAATGAAAAAACGCCCATGTTCAGTGCCAGCAGAGAGCAAAGGCTTAGAGACAGGGACATCTGGGGTGGGGAGCATTTTACTTCACCATCAAATAAAGGAAAGCAGTGCCTCCTAGACTTGGACACCACCAGGTTCTCTCCCGCTACAAACACGAGGCTGGAGTCACTCCAGCACTGCAGGACCTAACTGCTGCCAATGGGAGCCCCAGCTCCTGACTCCATCCTGGATGTGCCCCCGAATGGCAGAATCGATGATTCAAATAGCGCCATCCATCAGACACCCTGCCAACAGTGGATCAAATCCTGAAACCTCCCCATTCCCCACATGGAGAAACTGATGCTGAGAGAAACCACTAGGGAAGGACCACCGCTGCAGAAACCTGAATTTCCAGTCTGTAAAGCATGACTCGGGTCAGACCAGAGTAGGCACAATTGTACCACAGGAAGATCCAGCCATTCTCTGGGTGTATTTCCACACATGCAAGACACACAGCCTGGAATAACCCAACTACCGAGCAGCTGATCTTATTAACAGAAAGCAACCGCACTTCTGAAAACCCAGGGAAATGTGGCTATTACAGAAACCTCGCTTACAATGAACCTGCAAGGTCACTGGAGAGTCAGGCAATGAAACTAAAGTTTTGGAAAATTTTGGCTAAATTGGAAAAGCAGAACTCATGGGAGGATGACTGCGTCCATTCCAGAACGTATAGAGTTCAGAATTAAAGTCTTTTCTCTAAAATATAAGTTCAGTGACTATACTTGGCAAAGAACTGTAGATTCAAAAGTCTCATGTTAAATTAAAATTCACATGCTTTAAAGTTTCAGGTTACCACTGGGAGCCTGCTGGTTCAAACGTAAAACTGAAAATGGAGAGAGCCGGGCCTTTAATCTCAGCACTCGGAAGGCAGTAGCAGGTGGATCTCTGTAAATTTGAGACCAACCTGGTCTATAAGAGCTAGTTCCAGGACAGGCTCCAAAGCTACAGAGAAACCCTGCCTTGAAAAACAAAAACAAAACGAAAAAAAAAAAAAAAGAAAATAGAAAGCAAAGGAATGTAGTGGCTTTTCTAACTTAAAAGAAAAAAGGGCTGGGTGGTGGTGGTGGCTCATGCCAAGTATCTGCTGCCCAAATGCAAGCGAACACATTACCTTGGAAGTAATTTTTCTTCGTATGATGCCAAAAAGTTGCTCTTTTCTAAGTATTATTTGTTCTGAATTGGGGATTGATCATTTATACCCCATCTGAAAACAATACATTGATCTGTAGATAATCAAACCCAGGGTCTTGTGCCACACACATAAGCCCTAATCACTGAGCTATGCTTCAGCCTTAAATGTCATATAATTTTAGCCAGATGTAATGGTACATACTTGTGATAGCAGCAGCTCGAAGAATAAGCAGGAGGCTAGTTGCTTCTGGGCCAGTGAGGGCTACGTATAAAACAAAAGCAAAACAATAGAAGGCTTATGTAAGTTTATACAAAACAACAACTTTATATAGTTTTGTACACATTTTTATACTGTACAGTTCACTGTTTCCCCCTCATAAATTATGCTTGGTAAGCTTTTAACTCAGTTGATAAAGTTAGAGTAAAATATCCAACTTTCAGGGTTTTTTCTCTTTTCTTTTAAGGCAGGGTCTAGGTAGTTCTGGCTGCTTCTGTCTCCCAAGTGCTGGGATTAAAGGTTGTGCCGCCATTCATGGTCCCCCAACTTTCTTTTTTTTCTCTTTTTTCTTTTTTTTATGGTTTATTTAGCTTTATTTTATGTGCATTGGGGTGAAGGTGTCAGATCCCCTGGAACTGGATTTTCAGACAGTTGTGAGCTGCCATGTGGGTGCTGGGATTTGAACCTGGGTCCTCGGGAAGAGCAGTCAGTGTTCTTAACCGCTGAGCCATCTCTCCAGCCCCTCCCCCAACTTTCTTTAGATTTAATTTTTAATTATGTGCATCTAAGTGGGTATGAGTGTGGGTGCAGATGCCTGAAGATCCCGCGAGCACCTGCCATGGGATCCTCTGCAGGAACAGTATGTGCTCTTGTCAGCGAAGACACCTGTCTGGCCTAACGTCAGCTTTCATCTCAAATTCCTATGCTTTAGTTTCTCCCGCTACTCGGAGGAGTGTTCAGCCTCAATCATCACCGAATGCTCTTCCATACAGGAAATCCTAATCTGACTTTTCCTAAGGAATGTGCAGGTGTGCCCCGATCATAACTGACTTACTTGAGGTGTAATGCTTAGGAACACATGCCCACCGGGAATGTGCCACAGCATCTTTTCAGACAGATGGAAAAACTTAATTATACTACTTCAGATGTGAGACAAGGTGATCTGCAGTGAAATGGGGAATGACCAGGAAAAAACTGAGAATTCACAATGCAAAAATTGCAAAGTTTATTTTCTTAAATAAAATACTATATCCATATCCATACAAATAATTATTACAACCATTAAAATGTTACATTTAACAATAAAAATTTCAAAACTTTAAACAAGAGCATGTTCTGGAATATTCACATCCTAATACAATGCATTTGTAAAAAGATGTCAAAATAAACAGGACCTATTCTTATTTACAGCTGTAAGACAATCCTGATCCTATTATACATATCTGCTCTGTGTTCCATTACAAAACAAATTAGTTTCCATTAGAATTATAAACCAGGTGATTTACAGTTATAGGACACAGTGCACAGAAGACTGCTGGCTGGGTCACAGGTACACAGATTCCACTACTGAAGCACTAAAACTTGTGTTTTCCTGGTGCTTGTCGACAGTAAGCATCACAACCAGTGTATCTATAAATAATCTGTGAAAGTAATCATGTTCTCCTCAATTTTCAACCTTTTTAAAAAACCAAAATGAACACACACACATGCACACGCACATGCACGCGCGCACACACACACACACAACCTGCTGAAAGTGGAAGATGTTTCCTTCACATTAACACAACTGCAGCATCTTAAGCAACACTGTCTGGTCCCTTCTCAGAAGTTCAGCAGCCTGAAAATTTACCACTATCATCAAGCCCTGTGCCCAGTGACCTTACAGATGGAAATGACTTTAAGACTTCAGGAGCAGGGGGAAGAGAGGTCTCAGAAAGAGTGAAGACAAAATTAAATGGGTCAACTTTAGTTTTCTATTACAAACTGCATGGACAGCTGTACACACGACTGGGCCAAAAGGTTAAAGATTTTCTGTTTAAAGACGTGCTACACGAGAGGTTTTGTTTGTGTCTCATGAACTTTAATGACAGGTTGTGCATTCATCCAGAACAGCTTGCAGATCATGCCCGGCATTCTCAGCCTAAGCTGAGCTATGTTTATGATGCACCTGTCGACACACGTGTGACCCCCTCCCCACAAAAACAATTACCGGGTAGAGCTTATGCCAACGTGGAAATGAGGATGTGGAAGGACGGCCTGCCTCACAAGCTCAGGTACAGGTTCAGCGACCACAACTTGCTATCTACTTTGTCAACAATGGCTCAGAGGCGGTAAGGCAAGAGTGAGAAGCATCGGCTGTACTGATCATCTAGGAGGTGTTTGGTCACACAGCACGTGCCATCCCTGTAGCTCCTTCGCTGCAGCACGGGCCGGCTGGGTGACATGTTCTGGGATCTGGTCTCAGGAATCAGAGGCACAGTTTCAGGAAAAGGGCAGTGCCAGGGCCGAGGTGTGGGGTCAGAACCAGAAACTCTGAGCCCAGGGGTCCTCAGTGTTTTCCCAGCCCACATGGCTGTCTCCATCTGAGCACTGTGAGCCCCACGGAGCTACTAAGAACAGCTTAGATTTTACTATAGTAGAATTCAGCCCAGCACGAGCAGAATACAGAGTATAGTCAAGCAAAAAACAAGCAAGCAAACAAAACAAACCAACAAACAAAACCTTTGCTTTTTGGTAGAACTTTGGGAAAAGAAAACAAAATGCTGACATTCAGCCTGAAAGGCATCTCTAGAAAAAATTTGCATATACACACTGCAAAACAACCACTCGGAGATTAAGTCCATACTAGTTTTTTGTGGTCATTGGCTAATGGTTGCCCTCCAGATACAACAGCCAAAGGCACACTTCTTCCAGTCAGTCAGTACCTAGATGACAGACCTGGAGTGCCTTTCAGGCATTGAGATACAGGCTCAGAGCTAATCTATTTTGGTTCCTCCTCTAACCTTTCCTCCCACCACAGGGGAGAAGTTTACCAACTTCAAACTAATGGCATTTTGAGGAATTGTTGCTGTTTAAGAAAGAGGCATAGGGGACCCACTACTACACACTGGTCTTATAGAGAGGGCGGGCCCAATCACATTCCAACATGGAGGCATAACTGTCTCGTGGACAAAGCCAGGCTGCCTGCCATCTACTTGATGGGGAACAGCTAAACGAGAGCTCGAGCCTACACACCTGTGTGAAGGAATGGGAAAACCCAAAGCACAGTAACAGTCTCATTTTAATGTTTCCATTAAAATGTATGTCTACATTGTTTTTTTGAGTGTAAGTTTTAGCCTCTCCATGAGATGGCTAAAGTTAGAAGGCAAGAGCAAGGCAAAAGAAGTTTCCTTAAAACGCTAAAAGGCTGACGTAAAAAGCTAACCTCCATTGCAGTTCAGCATAATTCTGACCAGTATCTGGTGACTCCCAAGGCCAGAGTTTAGAACCCCCAGCCTTCTGACATCACACCGCCACCACTGGGAATCCTGCCCTCCACTATGACAGGGAGCAACTGCTGCCGTCTCAGAGTTGTGCTAGTGAAAACAGAAACAGAACTCCTGGAGAAATACAAGACTTATAAAAACCCAGTGTCTATTAAAAACATTAAAATGGATTTATTTCATCTATAGTTGACATATTTAACAAATTCATTGAAGTACACAAAGAGAAATCTAAAACTCTTCATCAGAACTTAACTTTGGAATGCCCAAAGGAAGAGAGCACGTTTAGTGATCCTGTATGATCAACAGTCAGAACAAAATGCGCTAATCAATGACTCTCACTTAGGAGGCAGGCATGATCTTGTGTACTTCCAGAAATTACAAAGATATTTGTGGAAATGCTTTACATAGTCATGTTAAAAGGTTAGGACAACATGAAACTTATAACCAAATTTGACTGCATTTTCTGCCATTACGTCAACAAAAGTTTTATCTTGATATTACCAGAAACCATTTAAGTTTCATCCCCAAATCATTTAGCTTTAATTATTAACACTAATAAGAACCCAGACTTTTAAACCAAGTGCAAACTCTTTCTCATCCGAGTCCATGCATGAAATGATCTCTAACACACAAGTGCATTATGTATTTAATTAGGGCCACATGTGAGCAGGAGCCAATTATTTGCAGACTTTTACATCTCACAGAAGGCTGAGATTCAGACAACCTCACAGTACTCTTCTCGGCATGAAAACCCTGACAATGCAATGCTATCTCAGGACAGAGCTGAGCTGCAGACAACCAAATAAAAATAACCCAAAGTCTTAACAGGCTTAGGACTTAGTGCTGCAGTCACAAATGGAGCTTCTCTGCTGGGTGGTGGGGTGCACCTTGAGTCCCACTACCTAGGAGGCTGAGGTGGAAGTTCTGCTTAAGCCCAGGAATTCCGGGCCAGTCTGGACAACAGAGCAAGATCCCTGTCTCAGAAACACAATACAAAACTGGAGTTTCTCCACAGCATGCAACCTTGGTTCCAATAGCGCCAGCCTGCCCCTCCAAACTCAAGAGCCACCATGATGTGAGGATGCACGTGTGAAAGACGGCCACTAAGAGAAGGGGAGGAAGGGGATTGGCCATACACAACATTACCTTTAATGAACTTGGCAAACTGGGCCTCCAAGTACAAAGACCACTCTGAATATTAATGCTTAAAGCAATTCATAAACGATTCTTTTTCCTCAGCAACCTTTCTACTGTGGTGTACATGAGTTAAGTAATGCAACTGTGAACTTCTCTTCTCCCCCAGGAACACGGAGTGGGAGGAAACACGGGTTTGCTCTGTTCACAGGAAGGGTGATTTCGGGCAACAGGAACTGACAAGGCACAAGAAGCCCTTTGCGGGGCCCTTAGACAGGCATTCGGTGGCGACTGCTCTGACCAGGGCTCTGACCAGACTAGTACAAAATGAAAACAAACCAAAGGGAAAAACCCAAACCCTCTGTGGCCCTTGGGCTCGCTTCTACTAAGCCAACGGGCCATCTCTGCATCCGTCCTTCTCGCTCCAGTTTTTACCAGAATGGAGCAACAGTTGAGAGCTAAGAGTTTAAATGGTTTTAAAAAAAAATTCAGCACATAAGTTTTTTTTTCTTAGTTTTAAGTTCTCAAGACTTAATACATGCTTTAAAATTAATTACTAATTCAGTGGTGTTAAAAAACATCTACAGCAGGACCCTTTTCCTCCTACCAAGGTGCCTTGTCCAACCTTGATATTAGGGTTTCTGTAGTTTTATTGTAACTTGTTATGCAGTGTTTGGTTGATATCCCTGGGAAGCCCCCCCCCTCCTTTTTTTAAAAGGGAAATGGAGAAGTGGATCTAGAGGATAGAGAGGCGGAGGAGGCAGGATGGAGGGAGGGGAAACTGCAGTTGGGATGTAATATATGAGAGAATGATAATATTAATAATGATCTTTTAAAAAACTACAGCATGCTTTAGAGCAGGAGTTCTCAACCTGTGGGGCTCAAATAACCTTTCACAGGGGTTGCCTAAGACTCTCGGAAAACTGATATTTACATCGTGATTCATAACAGTAGCAAAGTTACAGTTATGAAGTAGCAATGAAAATAATTTTATGGTTGGGGGTCACCCAGCATGAGGAACACAGTATTAAGGGTCGTGTTAGGAAGGATGAGAACCACTGCTATAGAGCAAGCCTTGATTTCCCATTTGCAGATGGCAGTCCTGATGTCTTTTCCAATTTGTTCACTTTTAATTGAGACGAGACTATGCCTGTTTACCGTGTACAATGTGATCTGCATCTCCAATAGCAAGGACAGGCTAGACTTGGGAACCCGCTTTTACACACACTCGCACTCACGAACTCAGATACACAGAGAATGTGTTTTTGTGAAGCACCATTTCATACCTACAAGAAAAATAATGAATTCATTTTCTTATTATAATTGTTATGAAAAACAATAATGCAATTTACAATGCAATATTTAATATAAATAATCAGTAAATGAAAATACTGAGACAGCTTAAACCCCTATTCAGAAGTATCTGAAAAGGCTCAAATGTGTCTTCTAAACACAGTATTCACTGAGCAGTTCTAATATTTAAATGATTGTAAATTAATTTATTTCAAGACCGAATAAATAGAATGAAGAGAGAATACTACATCAACTCAACTGATGAAGCACTAATCACTAGGTGACCCTAGGAAAAGCCACAATACAATGTCTGTTATTCTTTGGCCTAATGCAAAACCCAAGTACTAAGTGGAAAACATTTCTGTATTTTATCTTTGCTTTGTGTTTTTAAGGCTCATTGTCTTAGGAAGACTTTTACTTTCCATGATCTTGGCACATTAAAGGATAATATGACTCCCTATTTTGAAGAACAAGACATGAAATTTAGGTAGTTTGTTAAAATTATAATTAAGAAAGAAGTCTCTGTAACCAAGTTCAGGAGTCAAACACTTCATATAATTTTTATCTGCTTGATTTTATGTATGGGAATTTAGCCCACTATCAATTTATCACCTGCCGTGGCTGAGAATTGTTAGGTGTTGACATCACCGAGTAACGAATCACGTTTTTTCATGTTGCTTTTACTTTTGGATTTGCAAACCAACTATTTTGACTACCTATCTTATAACTTATCAACAACTGATTTTAGAATCTCAGCTCCTTCCTGCCATCCAGCATGTGCCAAGATCTCTTCAACTTCTTGTTGGTTAGTACTTAGGGAATAAAAGATTTACAAGTCAAACTTGGAAAGGTAAATCATTTAGATGATCAAAGAAAGTACATCACTCAGAAATAAGAGGTGATTGTTTTGACAACCCCGGTGTATGCATCTTCTCTGACATGACTCTCTTATAATCAGAAGCTAACTGAAAAATGGTTATCCAAAACAAAGACACATACCCACACAAACTCCTCAATGCACACGTGTACATACAAGAACAGCTGTCAACTCAATTCGAACCTTCGCATTTATTCTCTCTAGATTTAAACAGCCGAGCTGCAATCATGACCTAAGATATGGCTTATGTTGTGAGCAGGTCTGTTTGAGGACTGCTTGGAGGAGTCAGAAGCAGAGGAATTTGCTATGGTGAGCAAAGGTGACATCGCTGAGCCATCAGGAAGAGCTGTTGCTATTTCCGGAAACAACGATGTCATGTTGAAATTGGATAGGTGAGAGTTGGCCATATGCATTGGCGGCATCTCAGGGAGAAGGGGAAAGCTTGGTTGAGCTAAGCCAACGGGTCTGGGAGGAGATAAAATGGATCCAAACCGGTTGTTTAAACCTCCACTGTTTACTTTCTCTGTGCTAGGATTGGAGAACATTTGATTAGAAAAATAAGGGATTGAAATATCATTGGACAGAGTAGGATGTGCAGGAGAATAGGGGGGGTAGAAGGAAGGTAGAGTGTTTTGGGGATCTACTGGGATGAGAGCTGGAGTTCGTGTGGCACTAGGTTGGGTAACCTGTGGAATGAAGGAAGTATTCGCATTTATTGGTGGATTCATGCCACCCTCGGGAATAAAAGGAAAACCAAAATTTTGTGACAGTGTATGCTGGTCAGGACCTGAATTATCGTTAGGGACTTGTGGACTCTCGGGCATGAAACGAACAATACCCCCTCTCTTTTCTGCAGCAGGTTGCTGACGTCCAAGAATCATGCTGCCGCCAGCAGGGAGAGGAAGGTGAGGAAGACTTGGGTCAAAGACACTACTGTGTCTTTGATTTCCAGATCGATTCCTTTCAGGTTGGCGGATTTTGGAACCACTGCTGTCTTGCAGGGGATGTCTTGACCTCTGGGCAACTGAAGAGTTAGCCTGACGTACAGGAGGCCCTTGGTCAGCATTTCCATGAGACACAGATGGGTGTGGCAAAGTTGGCCTTGCAACCCCATGCATGTTGGATGTGACCGGAGGAGGGTTCATGTGGCTCTTGGTCCCATGACTGTCAGTAATTCTCATGGGATTGGACTTCTGCACAGAAACATTGGGACTTGTGTTTCGACCTTGAATATCTCCTGAGGAAGAGGAACTTGAAAAAGGAATATTCAAAGTGCTGTTCCTGGTGTTAATTGCACCTAAAGACATGTCACAACTCTCCCTATTCTGACTTTCACTCTCTCTTCTAATATGAACACTTTCACGGGTTGGAGGACAATTATATTCAATTGTTGAAGATGGACCACATTGTGTATTCCTTGGATGTTCTGAGAGTGACCTTTGGCTCCCAATGACCTGGTCACCAAGGTGAGGAGCAAGTAAACTCTGCATGAAACTCTGGTGACATGTGTTCTCACTGTCCCTTGGTGGGACAGCATTTCCTGCTGGGACGCTTTGAACTGGTGGATAAGATAACCTCTTTTGTCGGTCGATTGGTGGTGGGCCAGTGTTCTGACTAATTCGAAAAGCCTGTGACTGCATACTTCTCAGTGACGGCACAGGGTTACCTACTTCATTATTTCTTGAAGATTGTACTTCAAAATTACTCTGGGGCTGTTGGCTGGCTCCCGCTGGTTTGAATGTCTGACAATCAGGAAGAGGGACAGCATGGTCCATGCGACCCTGCATATTATGAAGTGCCAAACTTTTATTTCTGGGAACATCAATATAACTTCTCATTTCAAGCTGATCTGAAACCCTTGAACCCTGAATCGACATGCCCATTCTCTGTTCCGAAGTTGAAGATGACTTTCCAATGAGAGCCTCAGCAGAGTAACTGGACACTCGGTTTCTCTCTGGCCTGTGTGGAGCACAGGTCATGTCTGAAGACCTGGTCACAATACTGGGTTGGGACACCATTTGCTGCTCTAAGCCTCTTGGTGGCAAAAGCCTCTGCATTGGATTATGACCGGATACATGGTCAGAAGAAACTGCTGAACCCTGCTGTCTGCTTCCAACATCCTGTTGCTGGTGCAGAATCTCTTGACTGATGTGGTTCTGGGCATGGTTATGGTGGCCCCGTCCAGTTGAAGAGTTTTCACAGCTCTTCTCTGGCTGGGAACTTGCAAAGTGTTGCTGCATCTGTTGCTGCATCTGCGGATGGTGAGGATGTGGCTGACTACTCTTGGGTCTTGACTGGTCAGTCCCATGGTGTTTTGGTTGTAAGGACAGCTGAGAGGCAGGAGTGCCCTGAACGAGATTTCTCTTCTTCTGCATCTGAACTTCCTGTTGTAGAGTTCTCTGCTGGTGCACAATATGGGGCTGGGAGTGGACAGCACTGTCTGCATGAGGCACATGATGCTGCAGCTGATATAAGTGATGCCTCTCTCTTAACTGCCCTGCTTGCTGCTGCTGCTGTTGCTTGATGTAGAGATGGTTGGTGTGAAGGTGAGACACCGCTTGAGCTGGTACATGCTGCTGCAGGGCCTGCAGATGTTGACTTGCCTGAGTTTGTTGCTGTTGCTCAGCAACTGGAGGCTGAGAACCACACTGAACTTCAGTCTGCCTCAATGCAGGCGCCACAAAGTTGTTACCAGGAGGGAAAAGCCGTGTAAGGCCGTCTCCATGAGCTGGGTTGCTAGCAGGAACAACTGAATTTGAAGAGTTGGTGGGGATCTGACTCCCCATCATTTGAGTTTGATCAGGAATGCTGTCTGGGGTCCGGCTCATCAGGGGCATACTTTCAAGCCTCAGAGGGGCTGGCTGACAGTGCTTTTGCCGTTTGGCTGAAGACAGTAGAAGATCATCTTGTACAGCGCGCTTCGCAGAATCTTTCCGGCTCTCCTGACTCGGCTTCGAGCGGGGTTCTTGAGCCTGTGGATTTGGTACGGCACTGCTCATGGTGCCCCGCTGTTCCTGGGGGTAGTCTGCCATCAGAGGCGGTGCAGGAGGCTGGCTGCTGTAAGAGCTGCATACAACAGGCGTATTAACAGTTACAGGAATAGATGTTTGCTCGGAAGTCTGTGATAACCCCGTGCAGCTGACCAGAGGATGGCTGATGTTGCTCTGATGGACAAGATTATTCACACTTAAACTGGTCAAACTTGGCGGCTGAGAGGCCGGCACCTGCAAGGAGGCATTTGATGATTTAATTCCCAGAGAACAGCTCGATTTTTCGAGAGGCCTATTGACTGTGACTTCCACTGAATCCTGAGAGTTAAATTCATTTGGTGTTGCATCTGCCGGTCCCGTGCAAGGCTCCTTATGGATCTGTGTTTTAAAAGGCTGCTCTCCTTCTAAAGAGGTTTCAGAAGACTTGGAAGTAACCTCCCTCATCTCAGTCTGTGTGCCAACCCTTCCCTTCTCAATGTTCTCCTGGTCCAAAATAGCTCTTGCTGCCAGGGCTACGATATCGGTTTGCTCTGCAAAGGTACAGCTGTCACATGTGTTAGCTGCTGTACTGCTGGTCACGTCTTCACGAGCTGTTTCGGGAAGCATGGATGCAACCGAGAAACTACGACTACTGCCAGAGCTGGTTGACATAGGAGAGTCAGCTTGCCTACTGGTGAGCAAAGAACCGTTCATAACCTCTTGATCAGGGAGACAGGAGTGGTGCTGCGGAGGATCTCTGTCCTCGTTTATCAGTAACAGTTCCTGCTTGGGATGCAAACCAACATTAGAATCACCTATCTTAGAATTATCTGGAGAAAAATCCGCATGATCCATCTGAACAGAAAGAGATGGTTTCTGAAGGTCTTTTTCTTTAGTAAGATCAGATAGCAGCATTGTTAGACCTTGTCCCTTTAAAGGCCCTGCTGCTTGCATGGTGTCCAGTGAATCCTGCTGAATGGGGCAAGGTTCTGCCACAATTTCTACTTCAGAAATACAGTCAGCACTTGAAGTGCTTGTAGTGGATGACATACCAGAAACCTGAGAAACCAAAATCTGGGATTCGATAGGAGATGGACTCAACACATTGGCTGAAGTACAGGAGTTTGTAGCACTGGACAAGGCTACAGTAGTTGGTGGTGTGCCCTGAGATGTCTCTTGCAAGATGGGAGGAGAATCTTTGGATTTTGCTGGGGCCACTGCAAACTGTTCATTTGTTTCCGATTCTTGGGAGGATGAGCTACAGTCCCCTGCTGACTTAGGTTTGGACACAGACTCAGGGATTACTGATTCAGAATTCAGAATGTCCAAAGAATGTGAAGCAGAAATACTAACACTCTTTGCCTGGGACACAGCAACAGATGGGAGGCCACCAGGGAGGCTGTTCAGCAGTCCATCACTACACGATGGCTCTGCTGAGCTGTCTGTTCTGGGACCATCTAGCTTGCCCACATCTCTGACTGAATTCAGGGGACATGCTGGCTTGTTAACTGCTAAGTGTTTCTTGGCACCTGGCTTCTTGTTCGGTCTTTTTGATTTCATGGTAGAGGGCAAACAAGTGACAGTGTTTGCTGAGGAAGCTGTTGCAAGACTGTACGTACCGGGTAGTGTGGCTGAATTATCTGTTGTCATGGTAGGTGCTACAGTGGTTAGTGACACACAGTTAGCTGGGCTGGGCTGACTGTTTGCACAAGTCTGAGGATTAGCAGACTGGCTGATAGACAACTGTACACAGCTTTGCCCAGCCATCTGCGATATGCTTTGATTGAGGCTGGCCAAAGCCCCAAATGTGTTCAGGGCAACATTGGTATTTGGATCTTCGCTGGTGGTAGGTTGAATAATTTGCATAGGGCTTTGATTTGTAGTTCCTGATGAAGACATGACAGGTTGCAAAGCAAAGAGCTGCCCATTTAAAGAAATGGTTTGAGGCTGCTGTTGGTTTGACATGGTAACAGAAAAAGTTTGGGTTGAGTTAGATGTGGATAGAGATGAAGGTCTTGGTAATATGTGTACAAGATGCTTTCCTCCAAAAGTCTGTGGGGCTGGCACATTATTATGAGGCCCTATTATAGCACTGGCTCCATTAACAGGAAGTCGAACAGGACCAGGATGGGGAGCAGAGAGGAGTGGCAATGGGTTCTGATTGGCTGCCTGTATGATGACAATCTGTTGGCCTACTGTTTGGTTGGGAACCTCTGCCCTCATCACTGCTGGGCATGGGGTTGTGCTGGGTGGCTGAAGAATGATGACATTTTGGTTACCTGGAGCCGCAGTGACAGCTGACCCGACTGGCTGAGCCATCTGAATCACTTGCATTGTTGAATTCAAGGGAAGGATATTTTTTGGAGGCTGAGATTTAACTTGTGGCTGGGCAATTGGTGGCTGCATAGGTAAGGGTGGACATGAAGGCAAAGTGACCACTACTTGCTCAATTGGCGGCCTATCTGTTGGAAGGGAATTATTTAAAGTGATGGCTGTAGCCACATGGTTATGGAGGCTTGGGGTAGGGCTGGTATCAGACTCATTTAATACTGGAGTCACAGCAGAAGACGGTGTCTGGCTTAAAGGCTGAATAGTGTTTCCAGCCATTTGCAAAGTAGTCCATGTTGTCTGTGTGTTTCCAGCCGAAGAGATTCGGGTAAGGCTATTGATGTTTTTCAAATCTGAAGCACTAACACTTGAAGAAGGCAAAGAACAAGAAAGAGTCCAACCACTGTCCAAAGGATTTGCAGAAAGACTGCTCACTGGGAGGGTGGTCTTCACTACTCTGCTAGGAGCTGGTGCTACCACTGTCGTTGTAGTTGTTGAGTCTGCTGCCTTGCTAATGCTCACCGGAGAAGAATCACCTGTAGACCTGGGAGGGCCAGGGCTTACTGTGGTGGTAACGGACACAACAATGGTGTTCTGCAAATCTCCACTGAACTCCTGCACACTCGGGCCAGATCTGGTTCCATGATGCACTTTAGAGGCAGTTGCCGAGCTGCTGGAGGAGGTGCTTGCAACACACACAACTGTTTGCTTTGATGATTTAGGGCTCTCTTGCCCACTGCTATTTTCTGAAGCATTTTGATCATTTAGGCATGTGTGCAAGGAATGATGTTGGTGAGGGTCAGGGCCAACTGAAACAGTGATCAGTGAGCCACCACTGGCACCAAGCACACTTGATTGGCTTTCGGAAGTAGAAAGTTCGAGAATATTTTGAGCAGAAATGGCAGCGGGAAGACAAAGGGGAACAGGCTGGTTGGCAGCCAGCGCAGACACTGTAGTCTGATGCCACGGCTTGTTTTCAGAAGGGTAAACTCCAGAAATAGACACAGGAGTCACAAGCTTGCAGGTCCTCTGCACTGGCACCACATTGGCGGTCTGCTTTTGCAAGCTGTGACCAACATTAAAGGTTATTCCCTGAACGGCTGTCCCCTGGCTGTTTCCCCCAGGCTGGCTCCCATTGGAATAAACAATGATGTTTTTCTGGACCTGGTCACTCGGAATAACAACTGACACCTTTGAGTTTTTCAGATTTCCTTTCCAGTGGATTGTGGGGTCATCATATAAACATATGTCATTTGCTTTCAATAATTCAATATATCGGCCATTTTCTTTTTGGATTTCTTCCAGTTGTTTTCGTAGCTTTTTAATTTCTTCAGCTAAAATATTAGAAATGAATATGTAAAATTACTGGCGAATGTCAGTGATTATAACAACTTAAGCAAAAATATATATGCTAAGCCACTAATTCCAATTCTAGCCTTCAAAGGCCTTAGCAGAGCCATGAGCTCTCTGCTATGATGTTTTCTTCTAAGACTGACACACCAAGCCTTCTTTATATTCCTTTTAAACTATACCTTTAAAGGACAACCACTAAAAATCTCCTAAAGTGTACAAGTCTCAACATTCCCAATCCAAAATTTCCCAGTAGCATAGATAGCTAACAGATGAAACAGGGGAACACAGGCTGATTCCTGGGAACATGCTTTTGATAAGCTGAAAGCTCTTTGCTTAGGGTTACCACAACTGACAGGCCTCTTAAATGAACCCTATGGATTGCAAAGGTTACATTTGAGCTGAACAGGCTTCAGCCTGATATAGTAGCCCAAAGGTGGCCAGAATGTAATAGATAGATATCCTCATTGCTACCATGGATGACACTTGTTTTATTATCAAGGCTGATTGGTATAATTCTTAATTCTGTTAATGTCCCATCTGACTAACAAAACCAGGTTAAAACCATGTTAGACACTACCATCCCTTTTGGCAGATAGCTCTGGAATGGGAGCTCTGAATTTTCAGAGTTGGATCTTTTGTGCTGTAGGGGTCCACAGGTTGAGTACTATTCCACCTTGACTAAAGGTCAGAGAGTTTGAGCTTATTTTCACTCTTTCAAAGTTGTTGAAATAGGTGTGGTGCTACAAACAAGAGATCCTGACCTTGGCTGTCCAGGAACTTGTAACCAGGCTGGCCTTGAACTCACAGAAATTCAGCTGCCTCTGCCTCCTGAGTGCTAGGATTAAAGGCATGCACCACCATCACCCAGCTAACCAACAGTTTTTAAACCAAGTACCAGAACTGCAGGACTCTGATTACTGGCCAAAGAAATGGGCAGATATCTAGTACTAGGTAAAGAAGTGACATTCTGAAGTGACTGGAAGGTCACTACTAAATTATAATATTACATATAATCATGTTATATATATTTCTCTCCTCTCTCTCTGTCTCTCTCTCTCTCTCTCTCTCTCTCTGTGTGTGTGTGTGTGTGTGTGTATGTGTGTAAACCCTGTAAGATTCCTATCTAGCTAGAAGCTTTCTGATAAAGCATACCATTGTCCCATTAGGAGTCTATTAAAAACTCTTCTGGACAGAATTATGCTCTGAAAGAAAAGCTGTCTCTCCTACAGACTTTATTATAAAGCCTGCCTGAAACACAGCTCAGCACAGTGCTCTCTCTGACACTGTCCTCTACTCTGCATTAAATAAAATCAACTATTTTCTACCAAAACAACAACAACAACAAAATGTGGGGGTCAAAGAGTGGATAGAAAATAGCACAAAAAGAACCAGAGAAACAAGGATCACAACAGAGATGACAAAAGAGCCAGGAGGCTGCTTCGGGCTCTGCCCCACCCTGGCCTGGCTGCTAGGCCTTTCCCAAGCCCTGTGCATCTGGTATTTTTTTCATTGGCTTCCCTTTTCTCTAAGGTAACATGACTGTTTGGCTTAGCTTCTGTGCTCTGAGCCAAAGGTGCTATCATGGGAAAAGTCTATGGATCATTCTGGCCTTCAGAGCATCTTAAGGGGTGCGTCACAGTGTTCCCAAACACCAATATATCTAACTACCTGCTGTAACCACCCATGAGGGTTTACACCATCACAAGAGGGCTGACTTAGGAAAGCAACTATTTAACTGAATGTAAGGAAGAATCCGATTGTTGGCCTCCCAGACATGGCTTCCAAAACCATTCTTGCCCATCACAAGCAGCATAGCAGAACACATCCAACTTTAGTAAAACGTCATGCCTTTTAAGGTGGTGTTATGATTTCAGCCACCATATAGCTGACACTTCCGGGTTCCAGGGCCATGCATGTGCGTACAAGCCCTCAGGCTTGACCCACATGCAGCATGGTTGCATCATCTACATTTGACACAGCTGCATGAGCCCTTGTGCGCATGCGTGAGCTCCATCATCTCAATATGATATAACCACACTATCCCCCTGTGCACATGTGCTAGGCAGCCCTTAAAAGCTGGTTGCACCATCTTCAGCCCTCTCTCTCTGTACACTGACCTTCACCAGGCCTGCACACACCCCCAATAAACTCCTAAGTGGGTTTGTTGGGTGTTCCGTGTTTCCTTCTCACTCGCACCAGGTAATTTCAGGTGTCTACTAGGTTCTTTTCAGAACCATAGTAAGTGGCCACTCCACAGTCTTCTACCCTGCACTGTGTCTCCTTTCAGCTTCTCTCCAATACTGTGGGAAAAATCCAAACCCACAGCAAGAAAGTTCCAACAAAAATCAAACATTGTTAAATGATCTGGAAGTTCAATATATACTTTATATTAATGTAAACAATTATGAAATGAATATTTTGGTTCTCTAAGTCAATACATTGCTAAAACTTAGCCCAGATGGACCCTCTGATTTTGTTTATAGGTCACACTGGGCAGAACTCCTTTATGAGTCAGAGCCTTGTGATAGTCTCCTAACTGCAAGACCCAAGTGGACAAAGGAGATTGAACACTATTAGTTTCATGACTTAGGCAAACATGAAATACACAGAAGTAATCAAAATTGAAGTTATGTATTTCTACAAGATGAAATTAACCAACCACAGAGGAGGAAGGAGTTTGGATACAATGATCTCATTTCCAATGATATTCTCTTGGGATCCTTGAAGGCTGGTCTATTCTGATTTGAGGGTTGGGGGAGCTTTTCATGTCCTCAAGTGCATGTTACTGCAACACAAACACCTAAGCACAGTCTAACAAACCTTGTTCACTGTTCCCCCCGTTAAGCAGGAGTTCATCATTTTGCCGCTTCAATTCTGTTATATACTTAAAGGCTTGGTCCAGGATCATGTTCTTGCTCTGCAAAAGAAAATTAATCATTTAAACATTTCATCAAGAGGTAAAATCTTTGGATTTAAAGGTTTAAAAAAAGATTTAAATAAAGAACACTTTGAGAAGTATAGGTATTAGCTCTTCTTTGAAATTCTGGTAGAATTCTGCACTGAAATCATCTGACCCTGAACACTCCTCCATTGCTGGTGGGAATGCAAACTTGTACAACCACTCTGAAAATCAGTATGGTCGTTTCTCAGAAAACTGGAATCAACCTACCTCAGAACCCAGCAATACACTCTTGGACATATACCCAAAAGATTCTCAATCATACTACAAGGACATTTGTTCATCTATGTTCATAGCAGCTTTATTTGTCATAGCCAGAACCCAGAAACAACCTAGATGCCTCTCAAGCGAAGAATGGATAAGGCAAATGAGGCACATTTACACATTAGAGTACTACTCTGCAATAAAAAACAACGACATCTTAAAATTTCCATGCAAATGGATGAAAACGGAAAAAAAAAAACATCCTGAAAGATGAACATGGCATGTACTCACTCATAAGTGGATACTAGCTGTAAAGCAAAGGATATTGAGCCTATCATGATCCTAGAGAAGCTAAGCAATAAGGTGAACCCTAAGAAAAACATACATAGATCCACCTGGAAAGCAGAAATAGTCAAGATTGCCTGACAAAATTGGATGCATGGGGGTGGGAGTAGAAGGGAGGGCAGAAGGGGAAGAGGAGGAGAGAAGGGGGGGGAGAAGAACTTGAGGGAATGGAATAGTCAAGATGGAAGAAGGACAAAGATGAGAGCAAGGAAAGAGATATTTTTATTGAGATAGCCACTATGGGGCTAGCAAGAAACCTGGGACTAGAGAAATTCCCAGGAATACACAGGATTACCCCAGTTAAGACCCTGAGCAATATAGGAGAGGGTGCGTGAACTGGCCTTGCCCTGTAGTCAAATTGATGAATATCTTAAATTATTACCACAGATCCTTCATCTGACAACTGATGGAAACAGAGGCATAGACCTGCAGTGGAGCATTGGGCTGAGCTCCCAAAGTCCAGTTGAAGAATGGGAGGAGTGAGAATATGAGCAAAGCGGTCAAGACCATGGGTAAACCCAATGAAAGAATTTACATGAGCTAACTCCAGCCAGACAGGGAAGGAAACAGCATAGATCCAAACTAGTCCCTCTGAATGTGGGTGACAGTTGTATGGCTGGAACAGACTGTGGGGCCACTGGCAGTGGCACCAGGATTTATCACTACTGCTTGTACTGGCTTTTTGGGAACCTATTCTCTTTGGATGGATACCTTGCTCAGCTTAGATATAGTAGGGAGGACCTTGAACCTTCCCAAAGCAAAGTGCCTTACCCTCTTTAAGGAGTGGATGGGGAGTGGAGTGGGGAGGTAGGAGGGAGAAGTGGGAGGTTGGTATATAAAATGAAAAAAAAGATAGTTTGTTTTATTTTTAAAAAATAAATTAATTGCTGGGCGGTGGTGGCGCACGCCTTTAATCCCAGCACTCGGGAGGCAGAGGCAGGTGGATCTCTGTGAGTTCGAGGCCAGCCTGTTCTACAACAGCTAGTTCCAGGACAGGAACCAAAAGCTACGGAGAAACCCTGTCTCAAAAAAATTAATAAAAAAAAAGATAAATTAATTAATTAAATTAAAAAAAGATTTAAAAAGTGGAAGACCTGTATTCCAGGAGAACAGAACAGGAAGTGTACTCGGACCTTCACATGGGTATGCACACGCACACACAAATACACCCACATACACATGTATGCCTGCAAACACAATACAAATAAAGTCAAAATGCTTGGTTCCTAAAGAATGATACCTAAAGTTGTCCTTTGGCCTCCACACGCATGCATGCATGCACGCACACACAAAATTAGGTGCAAAGATTTTGTAGGATACACAGGAAGCAATATAGAGGAAAATCAAAGAGACTAAGGAAGGATCTTGGTTTTGGAAGGTTTGTATGTACCACTTCTGATCTGTAATGTGATGGTATCTGGAGCTGAACTCTGAAAGGGCTCTACCTCATGAATGGGATTAGCAGCCTCACAAGCAGAGAGAGACGGTGAGATGGTTCAGCAGCTGAGAACACTGACTGCTCTTGCAGATGAGCACCTTCTATGACTAGACAGGCCGGGAAGATGGCTCGGCAGGTAAGGTCACTCATTGTTCTAGCAGAAGATTTGGGTTTTGTTGGAGGAGGTCGCTTGCTCTTTTACCCTGCAAACATGTGTTTCACAGCAGGGTCTGTTTCCCAGAACCCACACAGGGGCTGACAACTGTTTCTAACTCCAGTTCCATTGGCTTCAATAGTCTTTCTGGGTTCTTCAGTGTCCTACACATACACATAAATAATGATTAACTATTTTTTAAAAAATCAGTTTTTTAAAGTGTGGCAATCTTTCTTTTTTACCATGTGCATACATAATTAGGACTAGATTTTTTTTATTTTTAAAGTTTTTTTTTTATTAATTTTGTTTCTGTCTTTATGTGGGTTTATGCGCATGAATGCCCAAGGAGGACAGAGTTGTTGGATCCTGCTGGTCTGGAGTTGCAGGCATTTGTGAGATGCCTGACAGGGGTGCTGGGAATCAAACTGAGGTCCCATGCAAGAGTAGGTCCTACTTTTACCTGCTGAGCCATCTCTACAACCCAAGGACTGGAATCTTCATTTTGGACTCCCCAGCCTCCATAACAGTGAGGTTAGGTGTTTTGTAAAGTCACTGGATCTGTTCTACTTTGTTACTCAAACAGGAGCCTGTACTAAGACACTCTGTTTTTTGAAATGGAAGCTTTGGGAAGGCCTCTCTGGAAAGGACAAAGCATATGCTGAGGCTCTCTGGAGGAAGAAGAACCAAGTCATGGGTGTTGGGGATCTCCAGCTCAGGGCCCATTCCAAACCCTGCCCTCAGCACATAAGCAGCAGCTCCCTGGAGCTGCCCTCTCCAGACCCCTCCCAAAGAAAGCCCACCCCTGGGGCTGCCCAAGACCACGCATACAGGGTATTTAAGACCTGGTTGCCAGACCTACTGAGATTTTCTCTCCCACCTTTCTGAGAGTCACCAGGAAATGCTTTGCTCTGTTCATTAAACCTGGACTTATTAATTTGGCTTGATTGGCTTATTGCATGGGTAGAGGATTCCTAATAATCAGGGATCCATACTTATTAATGGGGTCAAAAAGCAAAGGTACTTAGGCAGGGTTGACCTTGATTTATTTGTATTTTAATAAATAAAGTTTGTCTGAAGATCAGAATGCAAAGCTAAGCCACTAGAGGCCAGGGAGTGGTGGCACACACCTTTAATTCCAGGGAGACAGAGGTGGCTGGATCTCTGTGCAGTCAAGGCTACCCTAAGCTACACAAAATCAATCCAGAAACAGACCCAGTGGTAGTGGCTCACACCATTAATCCCAGTGTTTGAGAATCACACACCTTTAATCCCAGCAGTAGGGAGGTGGAGAAGCCATATGGCTGGAATATAAAGGAATATAAAGGGGAAGAGACAGGAACACACTGAGTGTGGAGTCTGAGGTTTGATGGAGACACAGTGCAGTCTAGGCAGTCTGAGGATCACCCCTTTATTCTGAACTTGGTAGGTGTAAAAGGTCTCTCTAGTGGTGTACAGCTCTGCTTCTCTGGTTCAGCTTTAGCCCCTGTATCTGTCTCTGGGTGTTTATTTTTCATGCTAGACTTATGTGTGAAGACAGGAATGGTTAATGAGGCATACTGTAAAGGGCCACAGAAAGTCTTCAAGACTGTGTCAAAGGTCAGATTCCAGATTATTCTCTACAGCCTCAAGTGTCCTAAAGAACGGGCTGAGAAGGGATATTGCTTGACTGAGTCTTGGTGCCATGCTCTTACTATGTCCCATTTCTACACTTTTTTAAAGGCTAAATTTTTACATTAAAGCATGTTTTTATTCTTAAATATTTTGATGATTTATTTTATATTTCCAATTATGTGTATATGTGTGTGCTTATGTGTGCCTACAGAGTTCAGAAGAGGATACCGGACCCCTTGGAGATAGAGGCACAGGTGGTTGTGAGCACTTGACATGAGTGCTGGGAACAGAACTTGAGTCTTCTCATCAGTGCCGCAGTCGTAATAAACTTGAAGACTGAAAACATAATATGGGGGTTGGAAGATGGTTCAGCCACTAAAGCACTTGCCATGCAGGCATGACCACCTGAGTTCTGATCACCAGCATGGGGCACGGTAGATCCTGTCTAAAATCTTAGCACTGGGAGACAGAGACAGACAGATCTCTGGAAATCATTGGTTAGTCAGTTTAGCTGAGTCACTGAACTCCGGGTTCAGCGTGAGAGCAAATCTCAAAAAAGTAAGGTGGAAAGCAATCTAGGAAGACAGCTAACATTGACCTATGGCTTCTACATGCAAGTGCACGTACACACATACACACACATAGACACACACATCACACAAAAATACACATACAGAGAACAAAAACATGCATATGGCAAAAATGTAAAAAATATCTCTATGCCCTTGCTCTCCAGATCCTATCCCAGAAACAATCATTATGAAGTATGCATATCCTTCCAGAAATAATCTATGCCATTATGTTCTTTGAAAGCCCAGACAGTGCTGCTGGGGAGGTGGCTCAGTGGACAGCAGAGCTCTCTGTACAAGCATGAGGACTTGCCTTTGGATTCCCAGCATCCATGTGTGTGTGCCTGCAACTCCATTGCTGAGGGTGGGGAGCAGAGACTAAAAGATTGCTGGGGTTTGCTGGTTGCCAGCCTTGACAAAAACAAAACAAACAAACAAGCTCCCATTAGACAGGAGAGATCTCTCTGTGAGAGATCCTATCTCAAAGGAATAAGGTGGAGCACAAAGGAGGACACCCAAGGGCCTCCTCTGGCCGGGCACCTGCGTGTGTGTATCTCCACCTCCACCTCCACTATCTTCACACACACACACACACACACACACACACACACACACACACACACACACACAAGGATGCGATGACCATTGTGCTCTACATTTTACTATAGATATATCTTATAGGCATTTCCACATCACACTTGGGGACTAGCTGACTCTTTCTAACAACTGTATTCCTTTTATTTGCCAGAAATGCTAAGAAATATTTAAGCTATTCACTGGCTACTTCTGGTTTCTTTCTTTCTTTTGACTAAGTATGTGGTCTTGAGTTACTAACTCCTACTCCAGTCACAGTATTGATATTTCCCATCCTTTAATGTTCTCTCATGTATCCATCACTGTGATTTAGAGGCTTGATTGAATAAGCTTCAGTTCTGGGTTCCTTCAATTGATTCACTACAGAGACCCAATATGCACACTTAGGAAACTCTCAGAAAAAAAAAAAAAAAACAGGCTACTTTTTAAAAAGATAAATCAAAACAAAACAAAACTCAACCAAACAAGAACAACAACAAAACCCCCACATATTTATTAAAGTTTAATCCACCCAGCAGGGATAAAAAG